TGCAGGTTCCAGCTTGCCTCATGCAAGAGCCTCTTAGAAGTGTGAGATCATTACAAAAGGCCTTACAAAAATTACAATAGACATTCACTGAGTGGGTTTACACCACACAGTGCAGTGTGGTGTAGGCTGCATGAGCTAGTCACACAACTGGAAGGAAGGTAGCTCTACCAGCACAGCGCTCTGCCTGACCTCATCAGCTCCGAAACGTCTGGACCTTGACTCATCTCTCTTCACAACGCTCACCTAAGGCAAGTGTGATGCTGTCTAACATGACACTGCTTTGCATAATATAACCATATCCTAATTTTGCTTACAGATTCTTTTTCAGTAGTGATGGTGAAAGGGAGAACCATGTAGAAATTAGGTAGGAGTCAGTCAGTGACAATGAAAATGAATAATACCTTGGTGGGATTTTTTCAACAGTCATTTTGGAGACCTGAATTTAATTTTAAAAGCACACATTCTATATGCCAGGTATTTCACATCACTTTCTGTTGAGCTGCAGAAGTGTCTAGAGCAGTTAGGGATACTTATTGTCCTGAGAACAGGATTTTATTGAGTTTAACCAACCAGTCTTAACCCTGTAGAGAGACGCAGTAGTTCAGATACTGCCTGTTCCAGCTGGAGCAGAACAAGTAGACACCCAACAAGTAGAAGTCTTTATTTCTCAGTTCTGAACTCAGCCTGGAAACACTGTTTGCAGAAAAGAAGAACCATATCCTTGATTCTTGTAATAACATTTTGCAATAGATCACACAGGAAGTGCTGTTTCCTATTTTCAGATACAGGGTTTAAATATGTGTTTGTTCACAAAGAAGAAGACACTCTCAGACAAAACAAGCTTGATCAATCAGTGAGTAGCTAATTTTTTCCCTTTTTTACATGTAAATGTGTATATATAGATATAAATTAACTCAGTGGGGAAGTATATGTGCCTAATGACAGTGGCAGTAGAGCCATCATTCAGAAACCTTATCAAATGGTGTAGGAAATTATGATATTTTTTGTACTAGAAACTTACTAGGTCTTGGTTTCAAAGCTGTTCCAGGAGGTCAGTAGCTTGAAAATGTATTCTGCTAAGCATAGAAACTGATCAGATGTGAAATCCTTCACACTTAATCTAACCTCTCCAAATCTAAGCCACATCTTGCTCTAACAGATGCAGATGGCAGATGTTCTTCATCACTATCCTATTGCATGGTTTCGTTGTATTATTCAAGCATTTAATCTGTTAAAGGTGTTGTTTCATTATCATGTTATGAAAGGGTATGTTCTTTGGGATTGCTCCCTCTTTTTAATGTGATATCTCTGAGCCACCACATTAGAAAGCCTGTACTCCATATCTCATATATATCAGTCATAATCTGGCTTGCAATTTTTGTTTATGAGGTTTTACATGAATAAAATTCATCACTACTACACTGGAATTGTGCCATTCTCACACACAAGGAGATAGGAGCTCCTCTGCTTGGATAAATGAGACTTGTCACTTGGGTATTAGCAAAAAAAGCTACAATAGCCTAAGAAAATAATTTTTTTTGTAATATATCAAATATGCAACTATAGAAACACTTGCTTTTACGGGAGAATTGCACTGTCATTTTCCAGGAGCAGTCGGCAGTGCCAGAGCAGCGGGCTTGAACTTCTCTGTGTGAAGACCCTTATAGCAATAACATGACAGGGGCATTATCCTATGACATATGTTGGCAATCTCCACTCCAGACGATTATCCTTCTTTTTGTATACTCAAGTTCATCTCCAGAATGGTTGTGACTACGACTGTTGTTTGAATTATTCTGAATTCAATGTTTTATCTGAAACAGTTTAAGCAGAGACACTGGGGAAAAAAAAACAACAAACAAACACCCAAAACAAACCAAAACCAAACCAAAAAAAAAAAACCTGAACAGAGATACTAGCACTGGGCTTAGCCTACACAAGAGAATATATACATCTTACACATATAGTAATGATTTGGGGGAAGGCATTTGATAGCTGTCTCAAGTTTCTCTTTCTCAGAGTGCTTATTTCAGTGTTTATGCTACTCTTTTCCTGTACATTTGTTAGGTAATAACACCTCCTACTTCTTTTGACTTGCAGCCACATAGACTGACTCTATTTAACTGCAGAAAATCTCAGAATTTTTGCAAGACTGGTTTTGTTGGGGAATGGAAACAATTGGGTCCTGAGGGTTCACAGAGAATTAAGCCTGGGTTTTTGTTCCTTGAAAGTTCTGCAGGGATGAAGAAAACTCATCAGTTAGCAGGCAAGCAATTCTGAAGAGATGTTCCTAATGCTCAGCTGTTATGAAAGAGGAAGAGGTTTCCAAAGCAAGGTTTAATTTTGGAAGGGACTGTCTTTCCCAGATCATATCCTGGAAAGAAATCCTGTGGTCACTAGGACATGAAAAGATGTGTTTGAGGGAAACTATCAGCTCAGAGTCTTACATACAGCATTTAGATTATACGCCCATCTTTTCCTTCACTGTTCTTGTTAACTCTAAGAACTCTAACTCTTGTTAACTTTAAGAAAAGTACATCTATGCTTGCTCCCCAAGATGTCTTTGGTGTCTGTGCACAGTCTTCTCTGCAGTTGTGCCTGTCCAGAGACTCCTTCTGGAAAGTCAAGGGCAAAGGAAAAGAGATAGAGCTGTTAGCAGGAAACATTGGACACAATGGATTACACACACTTGCAACACCTGCTATCAGGATATGGGGTATTAGTTTTCTTCATTTAAGTTTCAGTTCTACTCTGTGCTACATTGTACTTCTCTCTTGTAAAGTGCTCCAGATGCTGCTGACACATACTTTTAAGCAAAGTCATTAAGCAATTTCTTTTTCTGCATGACAGCACTGCCATTTCTGAAAAGGAGGAGAGTGAGAGCAGGGGGACTAGCGCTGTGTTACCCATTCATACATTTCAAGAGAGATACCTTGTCTTAGACCATAAAAAGGGAAGGGGAACTTTGGGGTCATTCAGTTTTGAAATAAGTGGCTCCATTAATGCACAGATGCTCTTCTAGCTTGTAGTTGTCAAATGTTCTGATTTCCATGAAGAAACTTTGTCCAAATCCCCTTTAGGGCACACCAGACTCATCGAGCTGTGACAACTACCATCCCCGAATAAGTCAGTGTTGCAATTCAGGAGCCTCTTTGCTTGAATTACTCTAACACAGAAATGTCTGATAGTCATACCAGCACCTAGACACTTCTATAGCTGAATCTGGCATACTATAAGTAACAGCTAATACTCAAGAGCTAGCAAGGCTTCTCTCAAAGCAGCTGAAATGCAGAAATCTGAAAAGGCATGATTCAGAGCTACATCCTCATTACAAGAATCTTTGATGCTGCAGTAAGTGCAGCTTTGTTAAAACTTAAAGAAATGAAATTACATTTATCTTGGCTCACAACATTACAATTATTAAGAAAATAAAACTTTTTCCTATCCAAGCAGTAACCTCATTTTCTCTGCAAGAAAAAAAAAGACATTGGCCCCGGGGCATGGTCACATTTCACCGTACCCAGCTTCTTGGAAACTGAGAACATAACCAGTCCACCAAGGGGAAACAAGAGCAGCCTCTTATTGGACTGCTCATATATTTAGGTACTTTTGCATGATAAGCACACAGGATAAATTAGAAAGGAAGGAGGGCACCAAAGAGAAAAGTTTCCTTCCTTGTTTTTCTACCTTAGGTTTGACTCAGTTGCCTAATTCTGCAGAAATTATCCAGAATTTCTGTTAGCAACCAGAACTCCCCTGTGCAAGCAGAAACTGGGTGTGTGGGCAGGACAGTTGGCACTGATGGCTGCATGCAGACTCATAAAGTAAATGAGAAAGCCCTGCAAATCAAAATCATTAAGACTTCCTCAATATTATTTTGTAATTTTGGAAGGAAAATAAGAGGGAAACTTTGGGCCTCCTGAATCATGGCTGCTAAACAGCTACTGAAACAAGGAAGCAAAACTTCTTTCATCCCCCAGCGGGGGGGGGGGGGGGGGGGTTTATTTAG